TATAAGTGACAGCATATATATATATATATATATATATACATACATATATATACACATACATATATATACATACATATATATATAATATATTATATATATATATATATATATATATATATATATATATACATATATATATATCACTATAAAGGGGAGTGTCATACCCACGGAGACCTATGGTTATACTTGCAGATCTAGCCCCCAGGCATTTTTTTTTAATACAACTGACTGAAACGCTCACAGTGTGGATCCATTGCACTGATATATGAGCGTCTCAGACAGTTGATAGAAATAAAGTGCCTGGGGTTAGATCTGCAAGAATACCATATAGGTCTCCGTGGTATAATGGGCAATTAACCAATGAATATGTTGTTTTTCTTGTTCATGTTTTGTTGTACCTCTCTTTCGTTGACTTGCACAAGCACAGCAAAACTTGTTGTATGATTGCATTCACACGACACAGTGCCCTCTCCAGTTGCAACATTCTGACAGCCATACTCGGACCACAACCTACCAAAACGTAAAAAAATCCCCCACTTATTAAGCATAATAGCGGAATATGGAATATAGAGGAATCTTTATAATGGATGGAATAATCCCATTAGTAAATCATACCCACATGGTGAAGGTAATATGAAGTAATTATTTATACAATATGTACGATGGATGGAATATAGGTGGAGTGGGGTATTACTCCAACATGACGGTTAAAATATTGTAGAATTATTCGTCCATGGTGTATCGACAGAATATGGAAATGAATTATTTCCTTACGATAGATAAAATTTGGAGAAGTTTTTTCAATCAATTAATCCACCAATCAATCGTAATTATTGTATAGCGCCAAATTCCATCACATGAAGTAATGTTCGGTGGCGCTGATTGACGATATGATAGAATCCAGATGGATAAACTAAGCCTTGCTATGTTATTATTATTATATTTATTTATATCATATATCTCATATATTATATATATATATATCAAAACTACTGACGTCGTTGAGTAGGACCATTGCCTTGGTAGGACCCTTTTATACCAGCGTCGTTTGACGCACGCGTACGCGCGCGTTATGAAGCACACGCGTAAAATTAGGGTAGGCCTACAGTACATTTAACATTGACCTGTGTTTTTACAGTATCCGTTGTATTTACTGCATCTCAAACAGGTGTGCATTCTTGATATCATTATTGTAATATATATTTACATAACAATTACAATTTTGTGTTAAAAAATAACGAATAAAAACATCAGAAGAACCAAGTTTAAATAACCATCAAAACTGCTAAGGTACCGTGTATCAAAAAAATTTACAAACATGTAGGCGTATGTTAAAAAGTAGCAAGTTAAAAAAAAATTGGGATTGATTGCAATAAAAACACAATTTATAAAATATAAAACATTACATTATATTTATTATAACAGTACCGTTACTATCTCTAGTAGGTACATTGAAGATAAATAACATTTTAACAGACTGTATTTTCGTTGGCGTGTCTGAAAAACGCCCTATCCCACAAGAACACTTTTGCTTTAACAGTCTGAGTTCTCTTTGATTGGGCTAATTTTATAACGTTTACGCCCACACTTACCCAAGATCGTTGTTCCAAAAAACACATTCTTTCACCGTAATCCTTTCTGTTGCCTTTCTAAATTTTATCTTCTTCGGAATTACGACATGATCTTTTCCGTCGTTGATACCAGAAGTGTTCACGGGTAAAGTAAAGTTAACCCCTATTTGAACCTTTTTTGAGCCCGAGGTCAAAGTGCACGACATAATACCACTTGCTGGTATCGCATCAACGTCCTCTTCTCTGTTTAAAGAAAGAACATAGTGTACTTGGAAGCGATACGTTTATATAATATTATTTGCCACTGGGTACAAAATTAATGTATAAGTCAAATTGATAATAAAAACAGTGCTCAAATATATAGGAACACGATGTTATAAATCGTATCAAACATAGTTCATCAACGAAAGTTCCTTATAGTTGTATGAAAAAAGAGGTCTCTGGTGGGAATTGAACCCATTATCTCTCGCTATCTCGGCGAGCGTCATACCGTGTAGACCACAGAGGCCCGTACGATATCATTACAGATCTAAGATCACCAGTCTCTCTCTCTCTCGCTTTATACAACTTGAGGGATCACACATAGTGGAGCCAATTTTAAGCTATGTAAACAGCTTATAGGTAGCAGCTGGTAAATCATAGTAAAGAATATTAAAATAAAGTTGCTGCTTTGCACTGGGAACACAAAAAATGTATAAAATGTTCCTATATATTTGGGACTGTACCGGAACTATTGTCTGTTTGATTTATTCATTATTTGTGTTCTAGGGCTAAGCAGCACCGCCATACTGGCAACACTTAACTTCTCAGCAACGAACTGTAATGACAAAGCGCCTTTGAAAGGAAGCAATAACATACTCATCCTCTGAAGTTGAGGTTGATACAAATAAGGGTGATTGATAGAGTTTTTGCAAGAGCGATTGAAATTGGTTTACAGAGTCTTCCCTAACAACACTATCTGGCAATGCATCCCAATCATTTACCAAATGGAGAGAAAGGGTATAGTTCCTAATATTAGTTTTAAAGAGCTGCTTACAAATATTAACAAATGACGAAGTGTTCTTAAACTAGTATCAAGTTGTAAAAAATATTGGCCAAAATGGGGCTACTAGTTACATTTATCGGCGACTGGATGCAATTTAACGTCATTACCAGGACACAGAAGAGAGAAAGTGCAAGTGTGAAAATGTGCGTTTTGTAGTTTCGACGGACAGGACCTGTCTCTTATACACATCTAGATGTGTATAAGAGACAGCGCACGCAGAGAGTAAAACTTACTCGGAATGAGACAGCTCTGTTGCTGATTGTTCATTTCCCATATATATTATTGTCATTCCAAAAGATCCTGCAACAGTAAATAGATAATAATAATAATAATAATAATAATAATAATAATAATAATAATAATAATAACAATACTTTATTGATAAATCAAATATCTTGTTTAAACAACATTACAGGAAAAAATGTTACTTAAAAAAGCACAAGACAAATAAGAAAATGTTACAAGGTATAATAAATGATGATAACAATATTTTTGAATCCGCTGCTTGCATGACAGTAAAAATGTTACCTTTCATAGTTTTGAAATTTTGGTACAGTGAGTTGATGATGGCGGTGATGGATGTACTTACCCTCTTCAAATTCAACGCCGTCTGGAATAACAGCTCTCAAATAATATGTACTTGAGTAACTGGTTCCGTTATTCTCTTCAGGTATTACAATATCGAATACCATGTCAGCAATTTGATTTATGCTTTTCACGTGATACATTGCCGCAACTGCAATTACAATGGCCAATTAAAATATTACAAGAAAAATGTTTTTATATCCGTAAAATAGTTTTAACGTTGGTGATGTTAGCCTCGGTAAAATTCTAGATGCTTAATTAATGGTCTTCTAATTTCAGACGATCAATGTGCTGTATAGTAATGGCTTATAAGTAGGCTTATATTCTGACCACTTCTCACAAATAATGGTGAGAGATCACTAATAACGGATAAAAATATCAAGTGATAATATTTAGTGGTGCAGATTCTAAAAACCTACATTACGATCTAAACTTAAAAAAGCAAATTTCATCAAAAGTTTCTCATCCAACTGCAAAATTAAAAGAAAGTTTAATAACCCATGTTGTCTTCATTTACGACGACAGATTCTCCTGTGGGTATGGTTTCAGCAGATGAACTTAGAATATCCTCCGCCATACTGGCAACACTTAACTTCTCAGCAACGAACTGTAATGACAAAGCGCCTTTGAAAGGAAGCAATAACATACTCATCCTCTGAAGTTGAGGTTGATACAAATAAGGGTGATTGATAGAGTTTTTGCAAGAGCGATTGAAATTGGTTTACAGAGTCTTCCCTAACAACACTATCTGGCAATGCATCCCAATCATTTACCAAATGGAGAGAAAGGGTATAGTTCCTAATATTAGTTTTAAAGAGCTGCTTACAAATATTAACAAATGACGAAGTGTTCTTAAACTAGTATCAAGTTGTAAAAAATATTGGCCAAAATGGGGCTACTAGTTACATTTATCGGCGACTGGATGCAATTTAACGTCATTACCAGGACACAGAAGAGAGAAAGTGCAAGTGTGAAAATGTGCGTTTTGTAGTTTCGACGGACAGGACGTACCATCAGCTCATTTTAAAATATGTCTGTTATAAGCCTAATTATGCGTCTACTCAAGGATTTAATGGCTTAAATTCTGTAAAAATATTCAGTGTTCTGGCCAATGCGGGTGATCAACAAACGATTGGTTTACAATAGCAAACGATTGGTTTACAATAGCAAAGGTAGATGCCTAGGCTAAGCAGAGATAGAAGCTCACCAGTTTTTGCTTGGGTTGAAAGAGAACTTTTGTGATCTTCAAAACAGCCTGAAATTGTAATTAGAACATTCAAGTATTGGTATAATTGAATAAATACAATGAGGTAAAGGCATACGTCATTAGTAACACTACACACTAGGTTATTGTTAATGGTGGACATATCGAATTAGACCTATATTATATGCACTGCTATGCGGAATATTTTACATATCGGTCTATTTCGTAATACAAAAAAAAGATACCAAAGCGAGCATCACGGGACCTTTGCATGGCTCATCTTCATGACAACGAAAGCTTTGTGGTGAATTCATGGACAAGTCGATCCTAACTATCTTTCATTTTTTATGGATTTTAAGAGGAAGAGAAAGAGAAGGGGATAATTGAAGACACCATTAACCGAGTATTGTTACGAAGGAAGAGCGAAGAAGAAGGGGGATGAATCAAAACAACATTACCCGAGTATTGTTGCGATATTCTTCTACATTGCTGCTATTCTTCAATGAAACACGACGTAGTATGCTGTTCAGAACTTTGATCTCTTTACGGTTATATGTTTTCTCAGGTCCTCTATTCATCGTCGAAGTTGCCGCATTGAGAACCTCGCCTGCAGAAGCGTCATCAAGCTAAAACACATCGTCGTCATCAATATCATTATCATTATCTTCATTATTATTATTATTATTATTATTATTATTATTATTATTATCGACCATTATTATCATAATCATTATCACTGTTACCGGTAGCGACGCCAGTCGGTAGCGTATTGTTACCAGTGCAGGCCTACTTCTAGCACCAGAATAAGTACAGTAGCAAACATTCGTTCAATCAAGAGATTGTTTTTACACAAGTCCGTGACAACACTAACGAATATAATGGTTTTAAAAAAAATTAATAATCATCATTTAAACAATGGAGGTTTACTCTAATACTTCCTTGTTTAAATTATGCTTTTTAAACTTTGATTGAAGTTGGTAGATTTTTAATATTGATATATAATTTCGTTATAATCATCTTCGTCATTATCATCATTATATTATACTCATTATAATCTTCTTCATCATTTCTATTAGCATTATCATCCCTATTAACATAGATACATAAATTTTATTTATTCACGATAACAAGTACAGTAATACACACGAGTTCAATCAAGAGATAGTTTTTACACAAGTTCGTGACAACATTAATAAATATAATGGTTAAAACATTAATAATCATCATTTAAATTATGCTTTTTAAACTTTTTTTTTTAAGTTGGTAGATTTTTAATATTTACATATTAAGGCTATCCCATATGTTCGCTCCTTGATATGACAAAATTCGTTCATTTTTATAGTTAGTGTGTGGTAGAGGAATTATCAGATTGGTTTCGGTATGTCTATAATTATGAAACGAATTATTGTATTTAAATAATGGTGGAGCATGACCCTTAATTCATCATCATCATGATCATCATCATGATCATCATCATCATCATCGTCATCATCATCATTATTATTATGATTTGTACGTTCTACTTACCAAATTTTCAACGTCGGCGAACACATTGCTGACTGGAGGTAAAGAACAAATTAGCTTGAACGTATAGTTGGAATGATTGTTCAAGATTTTAAGTAATAATATTAATTTTTACCAGTACATTATACCAGGTATCTAGTAGCCTGTATCCTGCGGTAGGGAGTATGGTATGCCTACACCAAGGGCACAAGCAAATAAAGTGACCAGAACTCAAAACTTTTTGGTTATAAAGCCGAAAGAATGTGCTACAAATGCAACCTGCAGAACGTTGGCATTCCAAATAATATATATATTTAATATAGGTACCATTTAAAGTTAAGTTTTATCAGATTTAATGTCGTGATATATCTTTAATAATATTTAAAATAACCTAGTAAATTAATTTGTTAGGCCGATAAAGCTAGTTGGTAATTCGAATGGTGCACAAACACTTATGAAGGAAGTAGTAATTATTTACGAGTAGTTGTTTGTGGTTCTGTCGTTGTCATTAGTACTGTGGTTGACATTGATGTTTTTGTCTCGGTGTTTTCGTGTTGGTTTCTGGTACTGTTTACAAAGTTTCCACCTAAGTCATGACAGATGACAAAATAAAAATATAAACTCCATAAAATACATATAAAATGCAAAGTATAAATATATAAACAAAGGTAATAAAACATTCATACATATAAATTATTACGTGTTAATTTTAAAATTGATATGAGCAACAACCATACAGTTATATGGTGTATAAACATCATTTTGTTGAATTTTACGAAGTAGCTATAAAGAACTGCAAATGAAAATCAAAATGCAAATGACACATATGCGGTACACATTATGATTTGTTGTTTATAATGTTTGACCTTTGATATCAACATGCGAATTTGCGTTCTAGAAAGTCGCTTAGGAGAAATGTCCAACTTAATAATATAATAATATTAATAGAAAAACAATATGTCGCTAACCTCTAGGCGTAGGCCTAGGCCTAGGGCGGCGCCTATCTGTTGTATTCTGGGATTCTGCGGTTTTGTTTGTCACTAATTCCTCAGTCTGCTGTACGTTGGTGGCATTTCTAGAACCGGTAACCACTATCAAACATGATAATTTAAATTATAAAATAGCAAATTTATTTTAACAGTTTTAAAGACTGGTAGAGAAATTTGAATTAAAGATGAACATTCAAATCGACTTTCAAATAGACTTTTAAGTGTGTATTCAATCAAAGAGTATCTATACTTGATTCTATAAATACTGTAGTGATCCTGTCGCCTAGATTCATCGAGTATAACGGGTGGTTGTATGTGCACTTGTCGATTCAACATTATGATGTAGATTAACATCATATACTCTATAAGTATAGGCCTAATAGACGAAATAACATCATGCTTTCTGTAGCTTAACTGATGAAATGTTTAGTTACTTCTCATTTATATTGTTTCATGTTTTGACAAAAGCTCTATAGGAATTAATCTTTGTTAAATTTTGAGAGGTGTTTTACCTATTATATGTTCGAGTTGTTTTGTGTTAAAAATCCTGATTGATCGATGCTCGACTTAACATAGTCCTGCTTTAGCTGTTTTTTCTTTGGAGCAATTTTAAATAGGCCTATGGGTACAGCATATAGATACAATTTACTTAGATACCGTACACTTGCTTAGATATACTTCCCTGTACTTAGGTCTACTTAGTGTCATTTTACAATAACAAATTAAGTAAGCATTTAAAAAAAGATAAATTTAGCTTACAAAAAAATACGAACCTTTTGATACTGATCTAAATGTTTGTCCATACCGTGTTGCAGCTAAAATATAAGAAAAAAATATATAAGAATAATATATATAGTAATTGTTATTGTCAATGTATATAAGTATATATTATATATATATATATATATATATATATATATATAAAATAGGAAAATCAGAGTTGCTGCATAGGCAAATATATATATAAAATAAAATAAAACTCGTAGAGATGGTAATAGATTTGCCTCAAAATTTATTAAGAAAATAGACGAGATCTTTCGGGCGTAACCC